CAAAAATCACAGGAAAGACCTTTTAGATGTTTTCGTGGGTTCGGGGGGTAGATTATGAAAAGGGAAGGTGCTAGCACCCTTTTCATCCATGGTTATCCATGGACTCTTAGTTACTTGTTTTAGATCACTTGCCTTTGCTTTTCAATTGTTTGAAATGGTGCTTTGTGTGTGGTTTTGAAAATGTTTTGAAAAAGATGCCTTGTCTAGGCAACCTTTGTAATGATTCTTGTTTGAATATATATAAAGGTGTGTGTCTTTTTGAAAAGATATTTCAATGTTTTGAAAGTTGTTTTTTTGAGGTTGTGTTGTGATGTGTGTTTGAAAAATGGCAAGGATGTTTTGCAAGATTTTTGATCAAGTAACCGAGAGTTTGTCTACCCTATTTTACTCAAAGATCTTTCTCATGTTTTTAACCCTTTTAACAATGTTGTTTCACCATTGTATTTGGTGAACAACCTTGTGTTAGGATGTTAACGGGACATACGCGGGTCATCGTATAGACCATAATAGTAATTGTGTCAAGTATTTTTGGCAATTTTCTTGAGGGACTTGATCATTTTGTTTAGGCAACCAAGACAACGTCATCGAGGGACTATGATCTTTTTGTTTTGCCAAAGTACTTGACATGCATACCATGGCCCATTTTTGAAGGCAACAAGTGGAATTACCCTAAGGGTGCATGTGTGCAAAGTGTGTTTTATTGCATGCATTTGTCTTTGATTTTTAGGTTGTCTACTTGTTGATTTTATCTTGCCATACACGCCTAATTACTAGCATTTGTACAAAGTAAATAAAATGAAGAAAGATAAAATCCTACGCTATTACAACCATATCGAAAGGCATAAAAAATATGAAGGAAAAAATAAGATAAAAGTAAGAAAAATGAGTGTCTTTCGACCCAGGCAGTAGCACCCTTCGACTTGCATTTTGTTGGCCTCCTTCGATTGGGAGTTCGCACCAGTGAGGTCATGGCCTTCGATTGGGCTTTGGCACCAGTCAGGTCATGTGCTTCGATTGGAGGCTGGCACCAGCATGGGAATGCCTTTCGTCTGAGCCTGGACTTAGTGCAAGTGTGCCTCTGGCTGGGCCTTTCTGCCTTGTTGCCTTCTTCGATTGGGCCAGTGAAATCGGTGTGAGCGTGTCTCTGGCTAGGCCTGGAAGTCAGTGTGGAAACCAAAGGATTCATTTCATACTCCTGTCTCCTGTTTCTTTCGTTTGAACTTTTTGAACAGCAACACGGCATAAGGCCATGCTAGTATTGCCTTACAATCAGTTAATACTTAATGCATATTTAAGTAAACAAGCAGCAAAACGAATGAGGTTAGCTCTGAAAACATATTAAGTAGGTGGAAACGAAAAGAACCAAAGTGTTATGTACATGTTTTGAAATGAAAGGGAAGATTATTCACATACTATGCCATGAAACTAAAGGTTCAAGGGTAAGAGTGACTTACCTTGCTTCAGGCCTTGAATGGATGTGGGATTCAAACTTGAACTTCTACCTGGACGTTTCTGGAATTCAAAGAGTATTCACAGGGGGTTTGCTTTTGGTTCGAAGAGTTATCACACAAGGTTGTCTTTGAGTTTGAACAAACTTCTTTGTGTGGGATGTTCTTCAGAATCGAAAGAGGTGAGTGTTTGGGATTCTGGGTTTTTTTGATTTCTCAAGTGTTGATGAACTTGAGAGTTTTATTGTGTTTGAGAAAATTTGGGGGATTCGTTCCTCTGGTCCAAAGATCCTCTCTTAGCTTTGTAAATGTTCCTCTATTTATAGAGAAAGAATGGACATGTTGTCCAAAGCCAACCTTGCAAATAAATGATAAAATAATGTAACGTGAAAGTACATGTGGGGGGCCTCTTGGCAGTTGGGGTGCATGAGATGTGACTTATGCTTCTGACATTGCTTGTGCTCAGACCAAATTCAGGTTGAAAGCTGCTTTTGTGATAAAAGTACTCTTTATGAAAAGAAAGAGTACGTAGCCTTTAACCAATAATAGTAGTATCTAAAAGACAAAGTTTAAAACCCTTGTACAAACTTCTGATTATGTAAAGATTTGGACGCAACATAGCCTGGAAAACGAGATTTGGTCTTGAGTCAAATGCAAGAATGAGATCGAAGCGTACTTGTTCGAAGGAGGCCTTTGCCTCAGTCGAAGCTTGTGGTCAAAACAAACTTACTCGAAGGAAGCTAATGCCCTGTTGAAGCTTGGATCGAAACAAACATATTTCCCAATCGAAAGACTGTGTTCGAAGGAAGCGATGTTTCCTAATCGAAGCATGTGGATCGAAACAAACATAAAGGGAGTTATTGCCTTGTGTCTTTTTAGCATGAGGGAAGTTCCTGGCTTCTGAATTGAAGGGCGCTTTTTCAAGGGAAGCAAGAACTTAGTCACATCTTGTATGAAGACACTTCTTGGATCAAACGAAGCTTGTATGAAGCAAAGTATGCAAGAGGCCTTTGGTGCAAGTGGATTTGAAGGATGCATAGAGATGGTTACTTTGTCCCGTCGAAACTTGTCCAAACGAAGCAAGCATGCAGGAAGCAAACTTGTCCAGTCGAAGCAGGCTTGTAGGCAGTAAACTTGGTGAATCGAAAAGGTTTCCTTACAGGGGGCATGTGTGGCCAACATGTCATGGCCTTTGATTGCAACTATGTAGGCAGCACACTTGTCCAATCAAAAGGCTGAATCGAAGGAGGTTTCAAATCCAAACGAAGGATGTACCTAAGTTGCATTCGAAGGAGGTTTCAAATCCAAACGAAGGATGTACCTAAACTGGCATTCGAAGGAGGCTTTAAGTTCAAAATGAAGGATGTAATCCAAGTTGCATTCGAAAGAGGCCAAGAGTCAATCGAAGGGTGCTGAATCGAAGGAGACCTGTTTTCCTCCAAATTTGTCAAAATGTTATTTTTATCTGTTTTCTCCATTTTTGACAGTTTCCTTTTAATTTTGATATTGGAAAATCCAAATGCACTTGTTCAAGCTTGAACCTTGAAAATCCTTGTAAGAAAGGCCTTGAGAATTGAGAGGGCAAATTTTGGGGTACAACAAAGACAAAGGGGGAGATTGTTAATTCTCTGAATTATGTGATTGGTATTATGTTTAGTAAAACTAATATAGCAACAATATGTTATATAAGATGTATTAACTTGCTAACAGGAACAGGTTGAGCAAGAAGCCATATCTTATGTTGGGACATGTTTAGTTAAAGTGTTTCAACATCTAGAACAACATGTCAGATAAGATGTCCTATGCAGGGTCATACGACATCGCGCCTGAGCTGAACTGGACTGTTATATTCTATTAAGTCACAAAGACAGAATATACCTTGAGGATATTATATTATCCTATGTGGCGCTGATTTGTAGGTCAAGAAGAATCAAGAAGAATATTGATGAATATTGACTTTTTAAATATGGAGATAATTTAGGAAGATTTGATTGAAGACCTATTTTATAGCAGAATTTTCTGCAGACTTGTAACAGCTAAAGAATTGTGATTTGAAGGTCCAAATCCAGTTAGGTATAGTTATAAATAGAAACTTTTTAACCTAGGATTGTGACCAGCCGAGAATTAAAAAAACATAGTTATTAGGGTTGAGTCTGTACCACTCTCTAGGAGAGTTAGTTGTGTGTTCCACTCGGTTGTGAGTTAGACTGATGTTATAGGGTTGTAGTCCTTATTATTGTTCTCCTCGAAGCTTTTAAACAAGAGGTAGTATTGTTCTTAGAGAAAGATTTTAAGCAACTCTAAGTATTATTCTTGATCAAAGCTGTGAAGCAAGATCAAGTATGTTATTCTTAATCAAGGGGTGTCTTGATTAAGGAGTTTGTTTGTATTTGAAGTGTGATCTTCATTTAGGTGAAAGACCGTTGATATGGTAACTGAGTCTGGGACTGTTAGACATTGTTACAGTGATTGAAAGTGAGTGGGTATACTCATATCTATGAGTTCTTAGGTAGAAGTTGCATCTGAGTTCTGTCATACCAGAATTTTACTTAGAGAGGAGGCGGGGACCGGGGGGGAGGGGGGGGGGGGGGGGGGGGGGGGGAGAACTATTTTAGGTCGTCCAAAAGAGCCAACAACCACGGCTCCAAAAAGGCAATTGTTCTCCAAATCGCTTGTAGAGTAGGAGATTTAGGTCCAATATACGTCCAACAACTCTTCACATCCTATGTTTGAATAATAACGAGTGGTTACAATCGCCCCACTATATAAAAGAAAGCACGCCATTCTCTAGGTTCACAATTTCAAATTCAAACTTTTTCCACTCATCTTACTCACATACTGACATGAGCGTTGAAGTACTAACTTTGTAAGTCAGTCTATCCCTCACCGCATCAAAAGTTCAAATCTTTTATTGTGTCTTACAACCTCCATTTTATGATCAATTATGGTACTCAATGAAACATCTTGGTTCCTAAAATTGATATAATTCATAAAAAGCTTGAGCTCTTGTGTCACTCACCACCTTATTCAAAGAATGATTATTTGAATGTTTAAAAAAGGATAAAGAATGAATGTTTAAAAAAGGATAAATAATTGATAGCCAAAGAAGACATATTATTTAAAAAAAGAACATTTATAATAATTTGACTCAATGTTTAGATATTTCAGTTTTTAAGTACTCTCCCTGTAATGATTTATAAGTAAATTTGATTTTTTTTTATACATTTGATAATCAATATATCTAGTCCATATATAAACTAGATACATTAATTATCAAATATAAAAAAAAAAAATCAAATTTATTTATAAATCATTATAGAGAGAGAACCAATAATAAATAATAAAAAGCTTGAGTTAGTCATCCACGTATGGTCAATCTACTATCTAGTTCACAAAACCCAAAGGAAAAAACACTTGACATCACAAGACTCAACATTGAAATTCTTGGGATAACAAAACATAACTAGTTCACAAACCCAAAGGAAAAAACACTTATATCACAAGACTCAACATTGAAATTCTTGGGATAACAAAACATAACATTCATTGATGATGTCTCTGTGCCACCTTAATCTCCCATTCGCATCCGATGCGGCGTCTATCCCCTCCACATTTCACTCACCTAATTCTTCTCCTATTCTTTCTACTTCTATCTTCACTACCAAAAAGGCAATTCAATTTTTCAATTATTTTTATTGCTTTTATTGGTTTGTTTCATCAAACTCCTAGATTTTTTATTCCATTAATTATATATATAAAAAATAGATATACCCTTTTGATTTAATTTAATAATTCATAATATATATATATTCCTTGTGTTTTTCCCTCTCAGGTTCATTTTTCAAGTGTTCTGCGGCGGTCCTGTGGAGTAGTCAGGTCTCATATGACAATGGAAGAGAAACCTCTCTCTCAAAACAATCGAATGCTTGTTAGTTTCTTAACCTTCTTCTGCATATACTTTGTTTCATTGCTGGCTTAATGTGTTGTTGTTACGGTCGCGCGTAAAGATTTTCGCGATTTTGGTAGGTACAGGTGTAATGGTATCAGTATCGGCACCTTTTCGTGGCAGCTTTTTAAAACCCTTGTTTTTTTAACTGGTTATTGGTTTTGGAGTTTGTAGGGTTTTTGTTTGATACTGAGAAAAGATAATGAGGGGATTTTGCATGGTGGTTTGATTAGTTGATTAATATGAAATGGAGTTTTTTTAGTCTTTTTTGGTTTTGGATTTTTGGTGTGTTTTGTATATGAGAGAAATAAATGGAGAGGAAAAAGGGTAATTTTCTATGTTGATGATTTATCTGTCATTGCATTGCTTGATTAATCTGTTTTAGGCTTTGATTGGATTGATGGAATCGGATGGAGCGAAGCGGTATGTGATGGAATAAAGTGGTATTCCATTGTTTGAATCATTTAAAATCGGATGGAGCGGAGGTGTATGGAGTGGTATGGATTCCATTCCATTCCATCACTTACCACCATATTTTTTCCCATCCGATTTGGGCGGAATGAACAACATGCCTTGTTTCATCCTAAAATTCTCAAACAATAGAATGGTATCTTCGTACCGCTCCATTCCACTCCGTCCGCTCTGTATATTTCATAATATCCAAACATAGCCTAAAATTTTCAAATAATGGAATGGAATCTTCATTCCGCTGTGCTCCATTCTGTTCATTTTGTGATCTCCAAACATAATCCAAGGAAAAATGGAACGATACGAGATTAAAGTTTGAAATTTGGTGAATTTATTGTCTTGTAATGATTATGATATGATTGATCAATGATTACAATGTTGTGTTTTTGAAGGTGTATGTGCCTGCTCATCCTCTGATCAAGCACTGGGTTTCAGTTCTCAGGAATGAGCAAACTCCTTGTCCCATTTTCAGTGAGTGGCTAAACTTTGAATAGTAGTATACTCTGATTTGAGATGAACATTGATCCACCTGGTTTCGAGCACTTGAATCGTTTTGAAGTTAATTTAATGGCAATTTCTGTTTTAATGCTCACACTAATCATAGCTTCTTGACTAACACATTCTACTAATGGTAGTTTTGTTATTACACTGTTATCTGATCTTTGAGTTTAAGACCTTTGGTAAGCTGTTAATTCGGTTGGAGCATTTGACACCATCGATCGTTACTGTTAGTGGCTCTGTAGCATCAATTTTGCATTCATTTTGGAAAGTTCAACTTATTAGTTTCACTAATGTTTCTCATTCTACCTTTTTTTTTGTTAATCCATTAATACTATTTAACTAAATTTTAGTTAACTTAGCTTGATATTACTTGATTATTCATTTGAAGGTTGATTTGAAACTTTGGGTTTCTAATATTTTAGGAAATGCAATGGCTGAGTTGGGAAGGCTACTAATGTATGAAGCCTCAAGGGATTGGCTGGTTAGTTCCTATTTCACGCAACATTATACTTATTGTATTTCTCACCTGGATTTTTTTGTTTGTTCCTTCAATATATTTTGATGTTGTTGCAACCTTTCATGTTTGTAAATCATTTAATTATAATTCTAAAAGCTTCACAAACTAAAGCCGTGGTTTTTCAAGGTTATAAACTTTATGTTTTGTTCCAATCATGTATTATTATTGGTTAACTTTCTTCTTTCTTTTTCAATCTATCCTGTCAAAATGCTGCTAAAGGTTTGCGTGGCGTATCAAGTATCAACTTTGTTTTAGAAGTCAAGGTTTATTGCTTGCTTCTTCTCCTTAAGAAGGCTGATATGATAGGACTCAGAGTCTGGGCCTTAGCCCAATAAGAGTTAGTTAGGCTATTCCAGGGAATATTGTGCTATAGAAGAGAGGGAAAGGGATTAGTAGAAGGCATTCAAAAATATTGTTAGAAAGTTTGTTAGGAGAGTTACTGTTAGGTACTTGGCTTGGGCGTAAGCTCGACAAATGTGTCAAATAGAGGAATGAGCTATATTTGCTGATGTGGTTAGCAGAGTAGTCAATAGCGGCCAATAGCGACGCTATTTCTCTATAGCGGAGCGGAGTGGAGGCTGACCGCTATGGGAAGATTCTTAGCGGCGCAGAACACTATAGCGGCCGCTATAGGGTAAATAGCAGGATAGGGAGTAGAATGATTCATGGTCTAGAGCGGTTTCTTACCCAGTATCCTTTTCCCCTATAAAAAACCGAAATTACAACTTAAATTTCCAATATTTTAAGGGTAGTTTTGGGATTTTCAATCAAATTTGAGTTGAGACTCAACCTTAACCTTCCATCTGATTTTTTTTTTTGTCTTGCATTCTCTCATTCATACTAATGGATTTACATTTATTCTCATTTCTGCTTTTCTTTCCTTGTTTTCAGCCAACAGTGTCCGGCGAGATTCAATCACCGCTGGGTGTCGCCTCAGTGGAGTTTATTGATCCAAGGGAGCCTGTGGCTGTTAGTACCATACTGCTTTCAATATGTTTATTTACACTTTGATATTTGATATTTTTCCGAATATATCTTACAAATGTTACCCTTATTTATTAAAGTAGTTGCAAGTGTATGGTGGACAAATAATAAAAAGAAATACAAGGATATTTTAGTCTTTACATATTATTTTACATTGAAAATCGATATAAGTGATTATTTTCTTAAGAAATGTGCAAATTTCAAACGAGACACATAATAATATGCCAAAACCGATATGAGGTGAAGGGAGTAGTAAATATCGAAGCATTTCAGAGTTATAATTTCTTCTATGCCAAAACCAAGCTCATAATCATATTTATATTCCTTCTATGCATATTGGCATTGTCCATTGTTGTCCATATTTACTTTTATAGTCTTGTTGATGCACATCTTCATTGTCCCTTTCTGCAAAGTATTGCCTGAATCATTTATCAGTTTTGCAGGTAATTCCAATTTTGAGAGCTGGTCTTGCTCTTGCTGAACATGCATCATCAATCTTGCCTGCTACAAAAACATATCATTTAGGTAATGATTTATATACCGGACAAAAACATCAATCTTGCTTGCTACAAAAACATCAATCTTGCCTGCTATAAATGTCGAGTACACTTTTGGTCTATTTCTTATATCGAATAATATTTTGTTTTTCCTTTTGTTTCTTTGGAAAAGGAATAAGCAGAGATGAGGAAACTCTTCAGCCAACTATATATTTGAACAAGTAGGATATTCATACTTGAAAGGAAATATGCTTTTTCTTCAGTTTTTTTCCTTTTCTCCTTTTGTTAAATACTACCACATGTGATTTTCAGGCTACCTGAAAAATTTGCAGAAGGGTCTAAAGTATTCGTGGTTGATCCTATGCTGGCAACAGGTTTGTAATTTACTCGCAATCGTATAATATATAATACCTTTGCATCAAATTTGTGGTTACTATATTTGTTGTTTTGTATGGCTCGAAGGTGGCACTATAGTGGCAGCCCTGAACCTCTTAAAGGATCGCGGAGTTAGCAACAAGCAGATTAAAGTGGTAATGAATAATCCGCGGATAATCATAAGCTATATTTCTTTTAATCAGCACCACATGCTTGTTTTTAGTCAGGCATTGCATACATGATACATGTACAATGCGATTAAGTTATATTTTTTTGGTTAATTTGCTTGGTTATCGATTAATAACAATGCAGATATCTGCATGTTCTTCCCCTCCAGCTCTCGAAAAGCTGAGCAACCAGTTCCCCGGGTAATCAATCACATAATATAAAGTATTTTCTTCAACTTCATTCAAGCATTTAGTTTTCTAATTATTAACTTTTGCAGGCTCGAAGTATATACCGGAATAATTGATCCCGTACTTAATGACAAAGGGTTGGTGCCTTACATTATAACAGTTTAATTATACATTGGAAATGACCTGATTTATAGAATTGCCACATTGTTAATGTTTTTTATTTCTTGGTTAGGTTTATAATTCCGGGCCTTGGAGATGCCGGCGATCGCAGCTATGGTACATGATATACATGAATGCTAGTTATTGGTTGGATCAAATTTTGAATAAAGTTATCACTACCCGGATTGATTCTGAATTTATAATGTTTTCACTATGTATTTCAATTTCTATCAAGTTTTTGTTTCTTTTTGTCTTCATATTCCGGACAATATAATTTGGTGGCCGCCGATATAGGTAAACTCGATAATCCGGCCAACCATACCGTAACTTATTTAGTGCAAGAAAATGGCATGGTATTGATATTGATTTGGATTGGTTTGATTTGATTTGCATTTTTTTAAAATTGGATGTGCTGGAATGGGGCAGGAAAAAATGAAACCCAATTAGCCCAAGCTAACATAAATGCTTTCAGTAAAACTAATTAGGGAATTTCTTAGTAAATCTTTATATGGGTGAAAAAAACTCTGAAAATCCTACAATACCCTTTAGATATGCATATCTGAACGAATTTCTAAATTAATTTTTAAGATGTTTCGGATATGTATATTCAAAAATCTCTTGTTTACACGTTATAATTATTTAAACATTGGATTTAAACATTGAGTGATATTTTAGGATATGCATATCCGAATATACCTTTGTTATATAAGTTTGCTTCATGATCACCACTACGACTATTTCATTCCATTCATTTTTTCCACCAAAACATACCACAAAATCTCAATCGTTTTCACTTCGGATATGCATATCTAAAATTCACCTAATATATTTCGGATGTGCATATTCGAAAATATGTCTGTTATGAAAATAGAATTTTGCCTTGAATATATTTTATGTTTTTGCCCGTTTTAGATATGGTGCACATCGATAAGTTCCCCTAAGTTTTTGTAAATGACTCAAACAAGGTGAATAAGGATGCTAAGTTGGAAGAGTTGAAGGACAATGTTAAAACGACTATTGTCGCCAGAGATGTTCGACAAGAATTTATAAATGATCAAATTTCCAGTGTTTGTCAACATATGTTCGAATGAGTCCAAGTTAAAGCTAACAAACTCGGATTTAGCGTTGTGATTGGAAGGTTCGACAATAGCACTAGTAGAAGACAATTATTTGTAACGATGACATGCGAGAGAAGTGAAAAATATGTTCTAAAAATTCGAAATTTAAAACATGAAGACACCCGATCGAGAAAATGTGAGTGTCCGTTTAAATTGCGCGGATATTGTAAGGTGGATGATTTGTGGTAGTTTAATTTCATATGTGGTTTATATAATCATGCGTTAGACACGAAGCTACAGGGTCATCCAATTGTATGTCGGCTTAAGCCAGAAGAGAAGGAAATTATTTTTGAAATGTCGATAATCAAAGTTGTGTCGAGAAACATACTTGCCGATTTGAAACAGAAAAGACCACCAAGTGTTTCAAATATCAGATAGATATACAATGAACGTTATCAACAGAACACGGTGAATAGATATTCGAGATCCGAAATGTAACAACTTTTGAAACTTTTGGACGATAACCACTATGTTTCAAGGTACAAAGTTTGTGAGGATAAAACCAGTGTTCATGACATATGTTGAACTCATCCAGAAAGTATCAAGTTGTTCAACACATTTTCAACCGTCCTTATAATTGATTCTATGTACAAAACCAACAAATATAGGCTTCCGCTTCTAGAAATTATTGGTGTCACTTCTATGGAGAAGACATTTTCGATTGGATTTGCATTTATGGAATCTGAGAAAGAAGACAATGTAACATTGAGCGTTGAATATATGCAAGTCTTTATTGAAGGATCCACAAAATATGCATAGTGTTATTGTAACCGACCAAAATAACACCCTTATGAATGTGGTTGGCAGTGTGTTTCCTACTTCATATGCATTACTTTGTCGATATCATATAACAAAAAAATGAGAAAGTCAAGTTAAAACCTACGGTTGGCAACAAAGAAATTAAGGATGAAGACGAAAACATTGTCAAATCTAGTGATGTAGTGGAGAAGATAATAAATGCATGGATGAATATATATATTAAATTCCTCTACAGAAGAGTTGTATGCTGAGAATGTGGTGCATTTCAGAAGTTTGTGTGTCAAATATCTATTTTTGTTGAAATACGTTGAATCTACTATTCTTGATCAGGTGAAAGAGAAAGTTGTGTGTGCTTGGATGTACCAGGTTAGATATTTAGGAAACACAATAACTAATAGAGCCGAATATACACATTCGACACTGAAGAAACGATTGGGCGATAGCAAAGGAGATATTTGTACAGAATGGACACGGTGAACCAAATGCTCAAAAACTAACATAAGGAAATTCAATCAATTTTTGGTCGGAGCATAATCGTGGTAGAACACCAATTCAAAGACAACATCCTCTATTCGCAGTTGGTTCTCAACATATTCCGACGAGATTGAATTTCATTTTTCATGAAGCGAAGCGAGTAGAGATGAAAGGGGCGGATAGTTAGAAGTGTAGATGTAAAATTAGGGAAACTTACAGGCTTCCATGTGCTTGCCTCATTTCTAAAAAGATGAAGCTAAATTTCCCCATACATATGGACGAGGTCTACGGTCATTGGAAAAGACTCCAGTTTGATGACTACGGTGCGACGAAGGAAGGTACATCGAGTATAACCATCACAACCGAGTTGAAAGTGATCATGGATAGATTTTCTAAAGCGAACGATACTATGAAATTGCACATAAAAGAATAGCTGAGGAAAATCGCCTATTCAGAAACCACTGATTTGGAACTTCCTTCGAAAACGATAAAAATCAAAGGTGCCCCAAAAAAGGTGAAATTACACAAGATGATTGTTCAACAAAGTGGACTCCTTCGTACTATGAAGTTCTTGATTCAATATTACCGGATTCTCCAAAATCACAAACAAGTGTTTTCAAGGGGAGCTCGCATTTCCAAATAGGCATGACAACGGGGTGGGCCGATGACAGTTTTCACCTCCCCCAAACCTGGATCTCCAATAAATTTCCGTTCCCCGCCCCAAACCCAAACATGAACGGAGAATTAAAATCCAAACCCGTTTCAAACGGGTTCGGATATCCCCGCTTCGCCACCACCCATTTATTAAAATCAATATTTTTAATAAAAATATTTATTTTTTTCCAAAATTAAATTACATTATAAATATTAAAATAAAATAATCTAATTTTTTTTCATATATACATTTAAAATATTTTAAATAATAAATACAAATCAAATTATCAAAATATTTGTCACATATTTAATATTATCAAAAATAAATAATAATGTAAATAATAAATTAAACGGGACGGGTTCAGGGTGAGTACTAGTGTCCATATTACATAACTCGTCCCTATATTTTTTAATCGGGGAAAACCCAAATTCAAACTCAAACCCAAACCCAATCAAAACGGGTTTCCCCCGTCAACTTCGGGGCGGATACCCACAAATATGAGTTTTGTTGTCATGTCTATTTCTAAATCACCTCACACACCCCTATTAAAAAACAACCACATACACCTCTGATTAAAAAACTACCACTTCCACATCTGATTATCTACATTGATGAGATGTCACTTTTTATGCACACACATTGAAAGAATCGTATATATGGGCAGTGATAGTAATTGCGGGTTTTAGGCCGTCTCCACTTTACTTGGTAAAGGAGAGGAGAATCATACTTTTATGCACAAAACAATTATTTCGGAGTTGATGATACATAGAAAACTTTACACACGACTATATGTGAACAAGGAAGCATTCGATAAAGTTCACAATGCTCCTGTTCCAAGTGTTAGCGTTTGCACACCAGTTGAAAAGTGGACGAGCTTTCATGAAATGAGTCATCTTATAGCAAGTGCATATGAGAGGATGTGTATCGATCTAACGAGATATTGTTTTTTGGAAACATTTTTCCCACTTCGAAGTCCCCCACCTCAAGACCCATTCGGCCGCATCATTTGTATTGGGTATCTTAGATCGCACCATTTTGTTCAGGTTTATTTAAAATCAGGGTGTTCTATTCCGACAACATCAGTGGAGTGGACGACACATTTCGCAAAAGAGGTGAGAATTTGGCCGAACCACTTTTTAAAAAGGATGGCTGAGTTCACCAAATTAATGGAGCTTGAGAGAGAACCAAATAGGGAGAAGTCGAAGAAAGAACCAATTTTAAATTTAAGTGGTGACAATTTATTTGGTGCATTTTAGAATGTAATCGAACCATTTTTTTGAATGTATTGACATGCACAATGTAAATTATATATGATTCAATACATATATAATATGTCTATTCAACATTTTACCATTGTTTACATTTACCGATTAAATTTTTTTGACGTCTCGATGATACTGATTCAGATAAAACTGAATTTGTCACTAGTTCTGCATATTTTAGATATGCATATCTGAAATAACCTATATATTTTTTTTAAAAATAGAACAGGGGTTATTTCGGATATTGATATCTGATCAAACCTTCATTTAAAAAAAACAGGGTTATTTCAGATAGGCCTATCCGAAACCCCCTAATTTCATAAAAAGAAAAGTTATTTCAGATTTGCATATCTGAATCATGCAGATTGAATAAGATTTCTTGGGTCCAAAATGCTTCATCTCTTCTATAAATAGGGTCTCCAAATCATTTCTTCAACATGACAAACCACAAACAGAGATGAGTCAAACATATCCTCACCTTGCTTTTGTCTACTTCAATGTTAACATGCCGCCACTTTAATTTTGGGTCTCCGAGGACACATGTAACACCCCAATTCTACCCGACAATTAAATAAGACTAGAGTTACAAAATTCCGGCAACCAAATCAGGAAGCTAAAATTTCAACTTAAAACAACGACATTTATTACAGATACATAACACATTAAACTTGGATGAACCAACAATAATATAAATTAATCTTTTAAAACCAAAAACTTTCATAACAACGCAGTGGAATCATAATATTCAACTAAAAAGGGCATAACATCTTTATCCAACTGAAACATCTCCAAATAACAAGTACTTAACGAAAATCAACTAAAAATTCAACAGTTGAAGTAATAACAACAATAAAGCA